GTTGATGACGATGACGTTGATGATGTTGATGATGTTGATGATGTTGATGATGGCGATGTTGATGACAATGTTGATGGTGATGATGTTGATGATGTTGATGGTGATGATGTTGACAATGATGGTGATGATGTTGATGTTGATGGTGGTGATGATGTTGATGGTGGTGATGATGTTGACGACGATGATGGTGTTGATGGTGATATATTAGATGATGTTCAAGATGATGATGTTGATATTAATGATGTTGAAGATAATGATGGTTGATGATGGTGATGGCAATGGTAGTGGCCATGGTGATGGTGTTGATTATGGTATTCTTGTGATGACAAAGGTGACATTGGTAGAGAAGTGGTGGTGATACTTAAGTGAAGTGGTAAGTTACAGTATGATGGTAGTGTTAGTGTTGATAATAATGTAATGATGGTTTAATTGTGATGAAATGGCAACAATAATTGTGATATTGAAATGATTACGAAAATAATAATAACTATTAACAGATTATACAGCTTAAATGAACTGTGATGTCCCATGATGCAATTGATGTTGAGGATGAAAAGTGTTAAGTACCGATTATAAATTAATTATTTCATATTGTAGTATGAACTTACGCTGGCGTTTCACAGGGCTAACAGGTCCACTGCCTGGCAGAATATAACTGTTAGCGACAGGCGCTTCACCCTAAAAGCAAAACAATTTGAAGATGTGATTTTTCTGGGTTTGTAGAGTATAAATTTTCTGCAAACAAATTGACATTTCATAAATTTTCAAAATCTATTTCTTGTATTTGCAGTAATTAAATACAGCAAACTCCCTCAAAGACATTTTATCAAAATCAGATAAAAATCAGTTGCGAACACTGAGAGGAGATATCTGCTCCCCCAAAGTTTTAAAATCAGTTGCAAACACTAAAGAGCTGTGGAAACACTATGTAAATTTATTTACGTGGTGTTTTTATTGCCTGATGCAATCCTACAAAGAACTTATTAAAAAGAGACTGTCTTCTAACTAATATAAAGGCAATTTCAATTGATACAGTACATATCTAATTATAAAAAGCTAATTAACCCATTGAGTGGCAGCACTCTCCACTTGACAAGTAAAATTGTCTGGCATTAGACAGAGTAAAATAGTCTGGCATTATAGACAGTAAAATACTAAAGTAGGGTGCATCTGAGGATGCATCTGAGGGTGCATTGTCACTTAAAGGGTTAAGGGGCACTTTATATCAGCTAGGGAGAAGGCATAATTAATTAAACAAAGGGGTAGTGTAGAAATAGAATATACCTACTTTCAATGACTTTTTAAAAGATTCTAGCCACGTATCTCTCAGATGTGAATTTTGTGTCTAAAAAATAGAATTGATCGCAACATTAGTACAGACTATCATATAAAAATATTTAATATCTGTCTTACAAATTTACATGCACATTAACATTCAAAAGGATAACTTGTTTTCCTACCTTCAAAATAATTTTTCTACTCTTCTTTATCATCTGCCATTCATTACTTTTTCCCTTTAATTCTATATTTGTTACACCATCAAGGGGAAAAAATCCTACATACTGAAACAAACAAAATTGATTATAGGAGCTGAACATCACTCTATCCAGGGTTTGAGATTATTATAATTTTTTATAAGGTTACAGAGCACCTTTGAATTGCTGAAATACATCTAAATTTGTTTTCTGGTTCTGATTGCACCTCTTTTTCGTTGTTCTAACATTTGAAAAAGTTTGAAGGAAACAATTTGAAAATATATAAATAAAATATTTTTGCTGTATTCGCAAGGGGCAAAAAGGTTTATACTTTGAATTTATTGTTTACATCAGTGTATGCCCTTATATGAAAAGCCACAAAAGACGTCCTGTAACCTTAACCTACTGGTACGCAATCTTAAAATCTGGTACCCAAATTCTCAAAAGGAGAAAACATGCTTTCAATCCTATATACTATTTACTGTAGCAGCATATATTTGTTAAAATACCAAAGTTTTTACTGTTTACTAATTTTCAGCCCAATATAGACCCTCTCAAAGCACTTCATAGCACGGCTCCTGTATAAACAAAAATCATTACACACTAAACTCTGGTGGGGGAATGCCGTCCCCCCCGCCTTTTTTACCAGTGGAACGGCATCCCCCCTGCCAAAATCAAACGTGGGGAAACGCTGTTCCCCCTGGCAGGGATTAAATATGAGTGAAGTTCAGTAAACACCGTTTGACACCATCCAAATAATTTTGGCTTCACTTGTTCTACATACGTGTTATTTTTGGCAATAATTGCTCAGCGTCCTCCCTCAAACTTGATTACTTGCATAAAATTCTAGCAGACTAGCACAAAAATACGAGAGTCTGATAGTTGACGTCCGCTTACCAGTCATAAACGCGGATAACGTCTCTCATGCAATCGCGAAATTAAACATTCAAATGAACAATAAAATGATCAATGGGACATAAAATGATTCAATAAGAACATTAACATGATTGAATGGATAGGATAAAAGGATAGTTATTATCTAAGCTTATTTAGTTACTCGCAAAAACGTCATATTCAACTTGCAAAGTTGCCTGTTTGCCGAGTTACTCACATAGCGCTAATTGCATCATCGAAATTCAAAAGTCAACGTGGTTTTATTTGCTTTTTGACATCTACCACACGCAAGCTAGGTGTTTTTTAGGTACATGTTGTACTATGCAATAGCTTAGTTTTTAAGTGGATTTCTGTACTTGTTCACTATGACTATGCATCAGGCCACGCCCAATTGTGTGACCATGCCCATTTGATTTTCAAGACCGTCCCCCCACTTCTAAAATTAGCAAAACATCGCTAACTCTGCAGAGCTTACATTTTCTTTTATTTGTGTGTTAACATCTTTGAAGAAATGTAAATTCTTCTTTTTCAGCACACACCAATATTTGGACCACTAAATAAAACAAAAGTAAACATTTTTAGATGCTAAGTAATACTCTTAAATGGAGAAAGGGGTTGAACACACACAAGTAAACTAGGGGGTAAGACATCAATTTTTAAAGTTTGTAGAAAAACTAAGGGTATCTGAATCAGTTGGGCTAATTACGATTAAATTCATCTACTATGCGACGGTTAACACCTGCCTGACAAGTAAAATTATCTTGCATTAGACAAAGTAAAATAATAAAGTAACTATAAAAGGCACATTCGGGCTTAACCCATTAAGTTGTTAACTCTATATGTATAGTATATTGACAACAGAGGATTGCTGGTGCTCAGTGGGGTTAATGAGACATATTAATTAGCAGATAGTTTGGTCAATCCATCATTACAAAAGACTCACACCTTGACCAGTAAAATTGTCTGGCATTAGACAGAGTAAAATAATAAAGTAGTGTCATTTCAAGTCAACAGGTTTATAATAAACAGCTAGTGGATCACTGCTGTTTAACATAAACAATGCCAAACATGCCCATAAACAAAAGGTATCCCTAGCTAAATTTTTATAGTCCCCTCAATCTAAAAATTTGAATAATTAGTCAAGTACAAAATTTCCGTTCGTGAAGTAAAACGTTTGAACGAATTAATTCAAAAATCAAAACAATTCTGTTTTCAAATAGGAGTCTTTGATGTCTTTCTACTTAAGTTTGCACTTGAAAAATAGGTTAATCAATCATGCTTTTAAGCACCCGAATTATGCTGGAGGTTTACTTTACGTTTCATAAAACAATGATATAAAAATGAAACGTATTGCAAATACTAAGTAAATACGAACGAATTGTAAACATACATTCAGTATAAACAGACAGCAATTTCGAAATTTCTAAGTCAATGTACAGAGGTCAATGCAATTAATCAATCCTACTCATTGAATTGAAAGTAAAACATTGCATATGGGATAAACACAAAATATCTTCCCTTCTTTAAATATATTAAAAACACAGACTACCAGCTTCCGCAGGATTATTCAAAGGTGAAGTATGACCGAACTCATGTTTTTAAAATAAATTTCATATTTACAAATTCTACAGATGCTTTTAATATATTAGACAAAGTCAAAACAGAAGCATTTTTATGATTTCCCGAATTCGAAAAAAGCTTCCAACTTGTAGCAATTTGCCTTTAATGGCGGTATACCAATATAAACACAAGTTGCTTGTCTTAATTATATCTTGTTGCAAGAATGTAAATCGTTTCAACTAAAAATACAACAACATACCTTAATAAAATTCTTCATTTCCACGTATCCTTCATAATATGTATCGCTATTTTCTGGCGCCGAAGTGTCAAACAGCTGTTCGTAGGCACCGTTGGATGTGTCCAAAGCCATATTGTTATATTATAAACACCAACTACACCAAACGATTCAGGTATTTTGAAGAGAAGTCATACCTACTTGACTGCTCAATTTAATACTTGAATACTTGATTTGCCAATTTGCATGAGGAAGTATTGTTACTAAAATCCTCCCGCTGTTCAGCGTAAAAAACCGAGATATTTTCCAGCAAAAACGGTTCAAAAACAGCCAAATTTAACCGAAAAATTCCGAATTGTTTTCAAAACAATATTTCAAAGTGCGTTTTCTAAATTCCAGAAAAACACCACCAATGCACCATGACAGCACTACTGCGTTTACCCGCCAAATCCCGCCCGCGCGCTTTTGTCGGCATTTTGGCAAGAAAATTTTGTCGCTTTGTGTGATTTATGCTAATCATTCACAAATTTCTGGGTTTTGTTTCTCTTTTGTTGTCGTGCATTTCAGAGAATGTATATGGGTTAAATTTTTAAAACGTGAAATGCCAGCATTACACAACACTATTTTGTTAATGAGAGTCGATAGGCTACACAACTGGGGCCGGTTGTTCAAAGCTGGGTTAGTTTAACCCTAGGTTAACCTAATATTCAAAGCAAACTTCCTCACAGCTTGTCTATTAAATTTGGAAATATTTCTTCAAAGATCTTGTCTAGATTGATTGTGTCTGTGTGTCTACACGTGTAAAATAAAACAACTAAAACAAGTCTTTCTTCTACATGCTTTATTTAACTGCGCCGCTACCTTTAATTATTTTATTGCCTCGTAAAAATGAGACACTTCGCATTAATGGTGTCTGACCAGACTTGTTTTCAAATTAAGAATTGATCTAGAATTTTCATAAAATGCTAACTAAAGATACTGTACGTCAAAAAATACTTGTACCAATATAATTTGAAATTGGTGGAAATTTGCCTTGGAATCAATTCAAATAAATTTAGAGTATATTTAAGAATATAACTATAGACACTGTACGAGTCGTAAAATACTTGTACCACTGATAATTCGAAATTGGTGGAACTTTGCCTTGGAAATCAATCCAAATAAATTTATTGTATATATATATATATATATATATATATATATATATATATATATATATATATATATATATATATATATATATATATATATATATATATAT